GTTGTGTTTTTGATTTATTGATACATACAAATGCTGAGTGAGTATACATCAATCAGTGACACATTGTAATATGGTATACACTAAATATTGTTTGCTTTTATTGATAATTCAGAATTAAAAAGTGCTATCAATAAAAGCAAAAAGTACTAAAATATATTTACCCATTCCAAAATTACTTTTACAAAATTTATATTGTTAATAATATATAGTCTTATTTTATCTGTACAGTATAGTACTTAAATAAATTTATAAGTGTTGAGAATATTACAGAATTTACAATTTAACTAGCTGTTACCCGTGGCTTTGCCTGCGAGGATTTTGCAAGCAAACCCCATTTACATTCAGTATTTCAACAACCATAGTAATTGTTATATAACACCTACCGCTGAGAATCAAACAAACTATTTTCAATTTGATCACTGTTCTGGAACATTTACAGTCGTTCTATAATTGAACCAATATGCAATAACAAATTCGAATTTAAAACGGTTTGAACATTTTTAAAATCGAAATAGATAACATTTCAGACATTGTTATAAATATTTTTATCAATTTAACCCTTACATTACCGTTTGCCCCGCCCCCTGTTTACGTTCATTCTGTAAAAGGGCCAAGGGTAGTATAGGTCAGACATGTTATATTACTTTAAAAATTCACCAAAAATCAATTTATCGTTATATTCATATGACAAAAATTACGTTACGTTTATTAATATCTGTAGTTATAAATACGATATTTTTAAAAACATTTAAATATAAACTTCAGAAAAAAAAAATTAAAATATATCAGACCTGACATCTGTCTGTGAAAATTTGCAACATTTTTTAAAATTCACATACTCCAGTTAAGTAGTTTGTTCTTGGCACTAAGCCAGAATGACTTGAAATATTGTTCTGTACAATTCTATATAACATTTATGAATGTACGATTTTTAGTTTTAAAATTATCACAGATTATAATATATCCTTTGTTTGGAATCTAACCTTTATTTTGCTATCGATGAATATTACGAACTAATATTCTTTATTCATTTTATTTTTAACAATAATATAAATTATTGTGATAAATATATAAACCAGTAGTAATACATTTACAATGTGCTAATATTTTTAATTAAATTAAAAAATAAAAAAAATTTATAAAATATTAAAATTGAAGGTCACAATTTAAATATTTATCATATATTGATTTATTATAACTAAAGAAACTTATTATAGCATGAATAAACGTATTTTAGTAATATTATTACGTAAATATGCTATAAAATAAATGAAAAAATATTTAAATTAAGAAAAAAAATCACTAAATAAAAATTTTTGAGTATTTGAGATATGACACGGAACCCTTTATCTCCCCATTCTTTTGAACTTTAACCATCAAAATTTAATAGCATAAACTGCTTAATACACATATTTCCTTGCAAAATTTAAGAAATTTTTGACAAAAAGCACAGGAGTTAAACTTCAAAGAGGGTGAACAAAATCATGCATTCCACACACTAACATCCATTCATACATACAGAAAAAACCCATAAATATTTTTTGCATTTCTTGATGTTTCAAGATCCCAAGTCCAAAAATGTAAAAATCTTGGGGAGGGTTATATTTGACCAATTGCCATACTATCCTTCTGTTTATATATGAGAGAGCCAGGAAAGTATAGACTAGTCATTAACATACCTGTGTGGTGTGATGACTATTTCCAGTTCTTGATGGAGGAAACACACAACCTCCTTATTTCAACCTTGTGCTGTATTGACAATAGTGTGTGTTATATTTATATATATATATATATATAATAACCTTCAATATCATTCCAACATAGAAAAAAATCATAAGACACATTTTACATGTAATAAAAATAATGCAGTTAAGTTGTTTGAAATTCTAAATTAATACAAAAAAATTGTTGAAATTATTATTATATTTGTAATTTATGTATTTTATTGTAAAGTAGCATGCTTATGAAACTGAATCAACCTTTTTAGGATTTTTAAACTCAACTCTTTTTTTTTCCAAGCAGCCTTGATATGAAGGAAGAAATAAATGCTTAATATATAATCTGCTTGTTGTATGGTATATTTCAATATAAATCTGTCTCTGTAATTCAAAAAAAAAAAAAAAAACACACTTTGATAGACGTATCTCACGGCAAATAAATGCTTGTTTGATTCTTTAACTTAATGAGCAATATTAATTTTTTATATAGATAACTAAAATGATTGATTTTAGTTTAAATTCAAGCTAGACTTTATAAATAAGTTGGATTGATCCAAAACTAGTTTTTTCTAAATAATTTATAACCGTTAACATCAATGAAGACTTGATATTGCACTCTGTAATTAACAGAAAATATAACACTAAGGAAGAATAAAAACGTAGTTAAATAAAGCTCATCTAGTTTTATTGAAATAAGTTAATCTTTATTCTATTAAGAGCATGATTTGATATTTATCTCATTCAGTTAAAGATTTAAAGTTTATGAAGTGTTTATGTTGTATCAGATTTTTAGGTAATGTGGCATCAGATAATGAAGCTTAGTTTAACTTTTATATATGTTTTTTATTGTAATAATAATTGCACCATATTTTAATTACTAAAATTATAATCGCCAGTTAATTTAGCAGTGTTCCGCAACCTTTTTCTACTTGAGGCACACCCATGAGTCAACACGGCACACTAAAATGTTATTCCCCTCAAAAACATATGATATGATACTATTAATAGAATTACATAATGCCACTAACCTATTATTATTGTTATTAAAAGATATCAACACCTGTGAGCAAATTTATTTTACATATAATTTCTTAGAATACATAAAAATGAGTGGTTTGTAATAAAGAATATACAATCATCATCTTATTCTATCGGTGCTGTGGTAGAGAATGAAATACAAACTTAAGAAACACAACAACTGTGATAAAAATATATAAATAAAATTTAAATTTAATTAACAGAATATGTTAAAGTACACGTCACACCGGTTGTGGAACACTGATTTAGCATATACTTTTAATTTCTGGATATAAAATAAGTGTTTATAATTTCCTCTGAAATGTAAAATACAAAATAGATTTTAATTTGGAAATAATAAAACACTAAAAGGTTATTAAAGAGAGTATTTAATAAAATTATCTTAGGTGAATTTGCTACTTTTTAAAGTTTGATAACCTAAATTATTATTAAGATTCAAGTGTATTGATTTATTTAATGACTGTGATAAAAAAAATTAGAAACTATATGAAATTATTTTGAAATATTTTGAAAATTGTTGATGCTTGTTTCTGACATAAATATGCTTAATACTCTAACTTCTGTTACAGCATATGCATATACCCGTAATAAAAGATTTGCGAAAGTTCCAGTTATGTTAGTTTTAGTGTGATGTCGTCATAATAAAAGTTTATTACTAGGATGATGATTGATGAACTTTTTATAAGTTTAAAGTTTTTAAAAATTGTGATGTACTTGAATATGAAAATTTCTTTTAAAAAACAAACTAAACTGACCTTTCATATTATTGAAATATTATTTAACATTGACTGACAAAAACGAAAAGGAAATAAGCTAATTAATATATTTCCAATGCATTAATCAATTAACTTATTTCCTCTTATTATTAATTTAGAATTGGATTTTAAATGAAAAAAAATCATGGTTATCAATATACTTTGTATTTGAAAATATGTAAGTTAAATACTAAACTTTGTTTCAAATTTAAACTGTTTTATTGAAATTCATTAGGCTGCAGTTTGAAAAAATTGTAAACCTATAAATGTGTCTGTTCTTCCTTAATCTGGAGAACAGAGTTAGTTAGATGAAAGTCGAGGACCAGATATAGAAAGCTTGGGCAAAAACCCCCAAATAATTATATATGAACTTTCAATGCAAACTGGAAGTCATGTTACTTCAATTCAAAAATTTTTCTATGAAAGGAATTAGATGACTGGTATGACTTCATTGATAAAGGAAAAGTGTGGTGTACAGGGGCAAGTCACTACTAATTTGAAGTGGAGAGCATGTATTTTAAATTAAATTGATTAAAAATTGCAGCCTGGTATTGTGAAAATGTTACAATAAATAATTGCTCATATATAAATGTAATTTAGCCTAAGTGTATTAGGAAAAATTTTTCACGAGATTGTGCCTAATGCCTAGCTCTATACCAAATTACTTAACATTTGATTATTAATATAGTATAATATAATCTGGCAATGATGCTTTAATTTAAAAAGTCGGATTTTTTGATGTATGTATACATTATGATGGGGTAAAGTGATGGTTGGCTGAGTGCTCTAGTGGGCATTATTGGCCATAGGTGGTTAGTCATTCCTACTTGATGTGAGTAACCAATATGGTTATATCTAAATTAATAGTTCTGGAAGCAGAGATTGGACAGAGGTCTAGGTAGTGTAACTGGCATTGTAGACTGTGCATGGTAAGCAATATTTGCAGGTTCAAGTTCCTCTTGATTTTTATTCAGAACCTTTTAAATTAATTATTAAAATATATTAATTATAATTACTAAATTTATTAAGAGGTGGTGCATAGCATTTACCTCTAGTCCAAATTACTTAACAATTAATTATTAATAGTAGCATTAATAAATGTAATATTTTGAAAACAGTTTCTCTTTTTTCATAATCAATCAGATTTATTTCCATTTGTTTAAAAAAATATTTAGTTTTGTGAAAGAAAGTCAAGCTGAATAAACTGGCCTAAGATAACTTTTATTTGCATTTTAAATCTGAAATGCCAAAATGATTTCAAAGAAGGATTTAAAATGTTAAAGGTCTGTGAAGTTAAATTTGTCTGCATAATGAATGAATTAGCAAAAAATATGAATTGTTACGTAAGCAAAATTGCTTGCTTATATTGGAATGATGTGAAACTGAATTCTTGTGTAACTTGATTATTATAATCAAAACTTTTTGTAAAGTGAAATGACTAAATTTTTTAGTTTTCAAAACTAAAAAATGTAATTTATTAATATTTTAGGCTCAGTTTATGATATTCAAAAAAGTTGGTTATGAAGGTTTTACTGGACCACAAGAGGCACGTCTTAGAGTAGAACTTTTTGTTCCATCAAATCAAGTAGGCCGCATTATTGGGAAAGGTGGACAAACTGTAAGTCAGGAAATCTGCAATTTTTTTTAATGATTTGTTTAATAATTATTACTACTATTGTGATTTTTAAACCTGACACTTTTTTTTAGGTTAGAGAATTACAAAGACTTACCCATGCTATAATAAAATTACCAGAAGAAAGTGACAGTTCTGAAGAAGATGATACTCCCGTCCATATAATTGGTGATTTTTATAGCACACAGGTAATTCTGACAATACATTAGTTTGCTAATTTTATCTAATATGCAAGTAAAAAGATTGCCATTTCAAGAAGGTAAATTGATGATCAGAAAACAATTTTGATTTTTTTCCTTCCTAGTTCACATGATCTATATTAGGAAAAACAACTTGTAAATTAAAACATGCTAATGTATTGGAAAGCTAAATTAAAATTTAGAGCCTAAATATTTTTCAACCTCCTGACTTATTTTTAGAGATGTTTACCTCAGAATTTTCAAAAATCAAATTAGATATAAGATTTTGGAAGTATTAAATTTTAAAATTCAAAAGCAGATGAATTAAGAAACTAGCATCACCTTCTAAACTAATTTTATTGTGTCTTAAATTTTGAATTTTCCAATAATCAATGAATTCGAACTTTGAATTGATAATGAAAATAATATTGGACACACTTCTTAATACTACCAATTTATTTTGGTCATTTGCTTGCATTATCACTACCTTGAATGATGATTTTGAATTGTTTTAATTCAGCTATTTACTATAATAAATAAATTAGATACTGAGGATGTGAAACTAATCTGTAATCTGTAAATCATGGTAGTAGTTGCCCAATTTTTTTAGTAAAAAAGAAATGGTCAGCAACTATATATGGCATATAATAATGTTATAATTTTCTAGATACTCTGCTAACATCTGAAAATGGATTCTTGAATCATGTGGTAAACAAGTTTGATTATTATATCTTATATTACACTGCATATTCATTTGTAGTGGGTTACATTAAATTCATATTACAAGGGTCAGTCAAGGTTTGTCCCACATTTATTTAAGCAAAAAATGATTAGAAAGATTTGAAATTGGCATACATTACATTTGAATTTTTCTGCTTTGGTTGGCTAATAATGTTTTACTAAATTTTCAGATACCATAGGTGTAATTAGTGTTGCCACCAGGCGTTTTCACCCAGGCAAGCTGGTTTTTAAATTCATGATCCAGATTAATTTTTCTGTTTTTGTAGAAATTGTGAAATTATGATGAAACAAAATAAATTTATAAAAATATTTGCGAGTATTTTAACAGTTAAAGAGTAACTTCACACCCCCATCCAAACTTATCCCCATCTTATTGCTAGGCTAAGAGTGACAGAAAATATACTTTTAAAATTCTAATTTGCAAATATTAGGTTTGTTCCAACACAAGTCCCTAACTGATTTAAAACTGGTATGCACATTGTTCAGTTCTTGGCTGTAAAATGACATTGCGCATGCCTCGTATTTTTATTATATATTGTATCAGATACAATATAACTTTTGTAACTTAATAATAATCATGTTGGTATGTGTTGTTATTTATTATTCTTACTTTTATATATTATTTTTGCAATTAATATTGCCATTGGACTGTTGTTAATTATTTTTGGATGTTCCACATGTGATCTACAGCCTAGAATCTTGCCCCATCCTGGCTCATTTAGTCAAATGAAAAATTATAGGTTAATAGGTTATAATAGTATTGCGCAACAAGAAAGTATGTTTGAATTGTGGCAGGAAGACATTATCATGTTGGTTGGGAGCGTTGGTGAACAAGTGGGAACTGGTGGTTTAACGGTCTGGATGATATGTGGTAAGACTTGAAGATTATAGAATGTTTGCGGTTCAGATTTAGTGGGAAAGTTCTAGTACCTTCTGTTCCCTATTCAAGCACTGCAATCAGTGCGAGTGAGTCAGTTGAGTGAGTTGGTGCATTTGAGCTTGTTCAGAACATACTGCGAGTGAGGTTTATTTGAAACATTGTTGCGTCCATGTGCAATACTGGATTTCTTATGTCATTTTAAATTAATAAGTGCTGTATTTATTTCTATTGTATGTTATAAGTGTTTTAATAAATCTGTTAACATTTTTCACGCATTTATTTAATTTTTGGACTGCAATTCCATAACAATAGCAATCTAAAATGGATATTAGAAACTTTTAGCATGAAAGGTATGTATCTATATTATTTTATTTTGAGTCAATGAGTTGCAAAACAATCTAATTAAAGCAACCTAAAATCTTTGAATTCACACGATGTTTCGTCGAAAATGCATACTGAATATACCAATGCTCTGTGAAACCTGTTAGTCTCAAAAATATAAAAGTATCACCACATTCAAGAAACATTATGTGCAAATCATTATGGCGCTTGAGAAACTATCAACAGACTGTAACAATGTAACGAGAAAAACTGCTTTTCAAATGCATTGCACTGCTACAAAATCAGAATCCATTGACAGTGTTTGTCTCATATTCAACATTCCTGCAACCGGTGGTAAATGCTCTTCAATCAAAAAGTATGAACTTATTCAATGTGCAAACCACATTTTAAAAAAATCAGACATGAGAAAACACTGTGGAAATGCAGTTGTTGAAAACCAGTGTTATGGCAGAGGCTGAAGCGATTGCCAAGCATCTTGGAACAGATTTCAGCATGCCACAAGTCATAAATCATAAGAAATATTGTGCAAATCCACCAGCACAGACTCCTAGCAAGTTTAGGAGAAGATCACTGTACATAGATTCATTATCTATGATAATGATCTATGAGATCATTATCATAGATAATGAATCCAGAGACATTACAGGACCTCTGGAACAGCATTTTTCTGAGGAGAACTTGCCCGCATTCTCATTACTTACATTGCACCCTCACGTAATGCTTGATATGATGTATGAGGATTTAAAAATAAAAAAAACTGCAATTTTTTGTAGTTACTACAATTTGAATGATTTCCTCAGTGAAGCTGAACTTAGGTACAACCAATGGAAAGGAAAAATGTGCCAAATGCCAAACTGAAGGGGATAGAACTAGCTGCACTAGTTAAAGAAATACAATTGTTCTACCCATCCATAAAAGGGGCACTACTTATCTCACTTGCACAGCCTTGCACAATGTGCACTATCGAAAGATCCTTTAGCTCATTACACAGGGTAAAAACTTGGATACAGTCAACAGTGACAGAAAATCAGCTTGTTGGTCTTTGTATGATGATTGTGCATAAAAAAGGGTTCTGAAAGCTAAAAATAAATTTGAGAAAAAAATTTTGACAAGATTTAGCCAGAACTACCATAGGAAAGTGCTGAAATAAGATTTAGATAGGTTTGAATATCATTGCAACTAATTACTTTTAGCGTTTTCAAATGTTCAAATAAAACCATTTTTTAATAAACGTTATCTTAGCCCCTCTGGAGAAAATCCTAACTATACCCTTGCATGTGTGATTGTTGTATTACTTTAATAATAGATCATGTACAGGGCATGTTTACCTTCTAATAAAAAAAATATTTATTTTCTACTTGCAATAAAAACCTAATTTTTTTTATTTCTAAGTATAATACCTTAATTTTAAAATGTCTGGGTCAGCAATTTTGAAAAGGTGGCAACACTGGGTGTAATCAATGATGGTGACTATCTTCTGTGATATGAAATGGGAAATTTTTCAAAATTATGGAAAAGGAACAATGAGTACAGGTATACAATGGCTTTCCTATAGCAATTCCAGAAGTACATGGAGTTTGACCAGAGAAGAACATGCAAGATGACTTCTTGTGTGATGATACTACAAGGCCACAAATTAGTTTGCAAACAAGAGAATCCATCAGAAAATTAGGTCTGACCATGTTGTACTATCCACTGTACAGTTTGGATTTGATTCTAACAATTTCACTTTTCTGGTTCAATAAAGAGTGCCATTCATGGAAATAGTTTAGGGATGATGACAAAGTTCATGAGGAGATGAGGATGTGATTCTAATAGCCCCATAACCTTTTTCTGACAAGGAAACAGGCCCTTGTTTTCACATAGTCTACATCTGTTTCTACAGCTTTTTGCTATGTAGAAAAATAGTGCTTGTAAATAAAGCAAGTGACTATTCATACACCAAATTTCAGCCATTTCTGATCATGGCCGAAGTAAAAATAAGGGGCTAAACTTTGAGTTATCTTCTTACTATAAAGTTGATTATCTGAGTGAAGATACTGGAGTGCCATATAGTACTTTGATAAAAGTAGTGAAGTTGATTTTTCACTAACAAGGAGAGGGTCAGATGTTTGGGTCTCTGTTTTGAACAAAACTTGGTGATCATGTAGCCCTAAACACAAACAGCTTTGTCTAAATAAAGGCCCAAAACAGGCCTCTGAAAATTGAATGTTAAAACAAGAGATTTAAAAATTGAAGTTATTTCTTGTTTAGTGAAAAAAAAGTCTCTCTAGATTAAACTTTTATATCATTAAATAAAATTTTTATTTCTTCATATTTATTTTCAGATAGAGATAGTATTGTTATATTTGAAGTGTAACAAATATGAGTACATGAGGAAACATTAACAATTTAAAAAATGCTGCAACTAGACTGCCCTATTTTCATATTAGACTTGTTTTTTTCATCCTTGCACAGTAACATTTGAAGCTTATTTGCTTGTGGTGACATATGTAATCACTGATGAAAATATCTGAAAATAAACATGAAGAAATAAAAATTAACAAGAGTTTAATCTAGATGTGCTTCTTTTTTCACTAAACAGGAAATGGCTTCACAATTTTTAAATCTCTTGTTTTATAAGTTTTAAACATGAGAAATGATTATGATAGTAGTAATCTAATGATATGGTAAAATAATTGTTATCATAAAAAAAATTTAAAAACTAAAATTGCAAAGACTCAAACTTGTTGTATAGCACTAATGTCTTATCCACTTGGTTATTGTTGTTCTGAAATGTGAAACTTCCAATGACTTAAACACTCAATTTTCAGAGGCCTGTTGTGGGTCCTATTATTTGGACAAAGAGCTGTTTGTGTTTAGGAATACATGCTTGCCAAGTTTTGTTTGAATAAGCAACCTGAACGTCTGATCCTAGTAAACATGACAGGACACTCGGGTGTAAAACATTTATTGCAAGGAGTTTAAATAAAATGTACACAAATCAAACATGACTTCCCCAGTCTTCATTTTATTAAAATTGTACTGTTTAATGGAGGGAGTGCTAATGGTTTTGTGGAAAAATTGATTTAAAAAATATAATTTTGAGAGATTTTTAAAGAACTGTTAAACATAAGTTTACAGCTTGTCAGTTTTTGTTCTTGTTATATTGTCTTCTATTTTATAACAAGTAAAGTGACAGTAAATTTTTGGCTAATGGCTGGTAGCATGTTTTATAAAATATGCTCTGTACAGAATTGGTTATTAGTTATTAAATTTTCTGAAAATTAATTTTTGTCAGAATTTGAGCTCTCAAAAGTTTAAATCATGTAATTATTAAAGAACTGTGAAAAAGCTATGCTTTGTACTTTACAAGTTAAAAATTTTAAACAAAAATATNTGTAATAAGATGTAATAAGAACTGACTGTATGATTAAGCACAAATAAATAAATATATATGAGCTATATGCACATGAGTATAATTAGAACATGTGTTCACAACTTTTTTTTCAATAATTATAAGTTATAAGTTAATGAAAAATTATGGATATATCATTCATTAACATTAATATTGTTTATTTAGGAAAACTTCAAGTAAGCAACTATCCAGTTATTCAAAATGATCTACTTATGATTATAGTATTGTAAATAACTATTCGTAATGTTGCTTATGAATGTAATGTTTTGTTCCAGATTATATTTATAAAATGTTATAAAGTAAATAATATCTATCTCTTTTTTTTATTTTTTACTTAATGTGACACATTGTAAATCAAAAACACAACACCTTAATTTGCTGAGAAAAATTTAATGAAAAGCAAACATTTTCAGCCAAATCTGTTGTCCATCATCAGGCTAAGATATCCGAATATAAACAAAATAGAACAAAAATTTAAATACAAATAAAATAAAATAACGAATGAAATATATATATATGTTACTGTGAAAGACTGAAATTAGAGAATGTCGATATTCTCCTGTGAATGTCGACACATACAAAATACNCTTTGTTAGGCTTAACATTGACGAAAAATCAGCACGAAGCGACACGCAATGGAGAAAAATTTCAACATGGGATAGGTTAATATATTTTTTGTACATAATCAGTTATCCGAAATATCAATTTTCCGAACAACCCCAGTCCCCAGTTGATTCGGATAATCGACGCTCTACTGTATTACTATTATAAAATTGTCTATTATTATTCTAATTATGATATGGTTTTGAGTCTGTTTTCAAATTTGTTTTTCTAGGCTGCTCAAAGACAAATAAGAGCATTGATAGGAAGAAATCAACCTGTTACACACCGACGCCCAGGTGGAAATATACAGCAGAATCAGTCACAGCCTCAACGCTCTGTTCAAAACAACTAAATTTCAAAATGTCTTGCTGAACAGGATACCAAAGATGTTTTGTGGAGAAATTGAAAGTGACTGGTAGTGGGAAAATTAAAATTTGAGATTGCTTTGTTTGGTTTCCAGAGTAACATATCAGTTATGATGGTTTCTTGTGACATTTTCTCATTGTCAAGAGCTGACAGTCAGTTGCAGGAGCTGCAGGTATTTGTGGATATTTGTGATGAACATTTATTCTTGCGAATTTGAATTATAATTCTCAGGAATTTTGAATGAGAAGTGTCTGGAGCACGGTAGTGACTCTAAGCAGCTGTTTAGTTAGTACAAACTTGTAGGACCACACTTGTTGAAACTGTATCATGGTCTTTGTAATATTGTGAAAAGTTTATTTTTGATACTTGTTGGAGAAACTTTTTGTTATCATTTTTACGAGCAGTTTTTTGCTAGCAAATGTGTGGCCAGAAAAATTTTTGGTCGCAAACCAAACTCTTCTATGTTTCTCCAATAAGAACTATATAGTTGTACAAAAATTTTTTTAAATTGTTTAAAAGAAATCTATAATCATCTGTGACTGACTGACTACATCTAATGAAATATTTCTATCGGGACTTAGTTTTTTAACTTGTATGTGTTGGCACCCTCACAACAAGACATGAGAATATAGTCCATACATAGTTTAATGACTTGAAAGAATGTTATGAAAGAAATAGTGGAAAACCAAACAAAGCACAATTATTTAATCCATCCATTAAGGAATGGTGGTTACTGTAAGGAAACTGTCTTTAAACCATATAATTATAGATACAGGGGGAAATTTTGCACATTTTTTGCCTTTTGGGAATTTTGATTCAATTTTTAAAAAATTAAATTTGCCATTTTCATAATTATTAGAAGAACAGCATATTATTCTGCTGAACAACTTTCTGATTTGTTGATACCTTGTTTCAAAGCAATTGTTTTTTCCTGAAAATACTTCATAATGGTACAAATTTAAGGGCATTGTGTGCAAACAGATTTATTTCAGGTCTAAATTTGCACCATCAGGTAAAAAATTCAGAGGTTGCAATGGAGGTAATGCAAAATAATGAAATTTAGAAATTTTTTTGTTTAATAATAATTCAAAATATATAATTATCATTTTTATTAATCAATTTACTCTTGAAAACCCATACAACCTCTGCAAATTTGTTCTCATTTATGGTAGAACAAGAGCTGGTGCAAAACTCAGCTTAATTGGCATATAGCCCAGAAGTACTACCTCACTTATTAAAGTTGAAAATTTTATTTATCACTGATTGCAGTAATTTGTGCTGAAAGTTCCTCTATAAAATTTTTGGAATGACCTCTATCCATTCCTTAAATATTTATAAACTGCTTTGATGCTGAGTTCAAGTACTGGTATTTTTCATATGAATTAATGTTGAAATTTTCAATTACCTCAGTTATGAAGAGAAAGCAGTTATAGAGGAAAATGTGTCGTAATCAACCAGTATTGAAAAAAGTGGAATTGCTGCTGATGTCATAAACAAGTCACTAATGTTGCATAAGATTAAGATGCTTTATATTATCATAGAATAATTGTATTTCAACTGCACAGGAATTCATCTTTTGACTTTTCAAGAGTGTTTGTTACAACAGCTTTGACCGCTAATAATGGTCAAAATTAAAAATAAAGAAGTACAGCTGTTGTTACATTATCATGTCTGTAAAGTTAGTGGTTTTTTTTTTGTTTGAGATTTTTGCTTTTGATTTCAAGAAATGAGGTATCACATTCTAATGAAGCATCACTTTATCTCGAAGGGAGTAAGACAGCAATAAGTATTTTGTAACAATGCATTTTGATTTCCTTGCTAATTAATTTTTGTTTTTGTCAGAATATGTAAGTACAATAGTAGAGACAAGTTAGCCTTTGATGTATTTTTCAGTTCAGACTATATAACAATGGTAAGCACTTCTGTGTACTCCTTAAATAGTAGGTGTTTCTATTTTGTGAGGGTGCCCTAGTGTTATGGGATAAAAACAGATCCAGGTATAAGATAGCATTTGATAAAGGTACCAGTATTAAAGCAATAGGTGTCAATAATTTATGAATTTCAGTACAAAAAAGATGGGGGAATTTGAACCTTACAATCCGCTGCATCAATTCAGATATATTTGGTTATAGGTTTGAAGAGTTTTCAAAGATTATCTACCTCGTAGCCAGGTAATATTTGTTTCCAGTTTATCTAAGGGTTGACTAAATTACCTGTTCCCACAGGTATGCACAATATATAGGTATGTTTTGGCTCTGCCATGTGCCATATTTTCTCAATACGAGTGTGTATTTGATTGCAAATAGTAAAGATTACATAGTTGGACAGAATGCAAAAGTTTTGAAATAGTGCAGTGTTTTATTCTCATTTGTCCCACTAGTGATCACTGCCTTATTTCTTAAAATGATCCATTCTGTTTTTTTTTTCTTACCCATTAGATTTGGAACCTTAAATGCAGCCCATCTTGGATAATGTTAATGATCATTTATAATTGATCAATTGTCATTAAAAAAAAACTGTTTTGTTCCCATAGAGGGCAACACTGTCTATTGTTAGTGCAATAGGCCATAATGGGTTTGGTTTGCATTGACCAAGTGGTACAGTGAACTCCTCAAATATCTGTTCTGTCTTTTCTACTATGATATATTAAATTATTCTAGTTAAGTTTTATGTCTCTTCTTTTTATTTATGTAAAATCAACATTATACAATCATTTCATAATTTGAACCCTAACATTAAATTCATATTTTAATAACAAAATATTTTATAGTGCATTTTGTGTACATTGATGAAGTTTTTTTCTAAATATAAGTTAATTATAAAAAAGATTTCTTATAATTGTTACTTTTTAATTCATTATTGTGGCAATATAAAACAATGTTTTATAAAGTTTTGGAATAATTTGAAGAGCTAATAACATTGTTAGGTTAAAACCATTTATAGATATTTATTCTCCTGAAAAAACCTAGATTTATTGATTCAGATTCAGAATTCAATCATTATCAAAATGTTTTATGCAGTACATTGCAAAGTATTTTTTACACTAATTAATTTTTTCAAATGTAATATCTTAATCTGACATGTTACAGGTAGCTCTTCAAATTCAGTTACTTAAACGTCTAGGTTTGCTTGGAGTGTTTGTGCAGAGAACTGGTTACATAATTTAACTCGTTTTTATTTAAATCATTCAAAATAAACATTATTCATATTTATGGATACATGCTTTACACAACTAATGGAGAATGTAAACTAAATTGGATTCTTTTTATATAATTCAAATTTTTAAGGCTGAGATGCTTTAATGAAAAGATAAAGAAATATATATATATTATTCACTTTGAAGTGTGTGTGTACCAATACACTAAAAATTTAACTAGATAGCTTTTAGCTTTTTTTGTTTTAAAAATTTTTTATCTAAATGTTTAGATGACTGTTTTAAAAAGTAAATCAGGTCACTCATTTTAAAATATTTATAAACTTTATTGCTAATATTTTGAAAGAAATTTTTTGGCAGCTTAATAATTAGCTTAAATTTTTATTGTATACTAGCTTAACATATTTCGTTTCCAAAATATTGTTACTGGATAGTATCAAAATACATTACTATCCAGTAAAAATATCCATCTAGAAGTTCTTTGAAAACATTTTTCCATTGCTTTATCTAAGTGGAAATGATATCTCTTACAACAGTGCTCAGGATTTTATTATACAAAATATTTCGGTAGAAAATGGCGTATATTTAAGACTATAATGAGTGGTAAGTTAAAAATTTTGACTCCTTACTAGCCGCACTATATTTTGGATTGAGAATTCCAGATTTAGAGGAATTAGACCTAAAAGTTATATTGAATTGTATTCTAATAACATTACTTTTCAGAAATGTATTATTTCTGAAAAGTAAATACTAAAAAAGTAATTTAAAATGTTTATAACTTAGACAAAGGCAGTTATATTAATAGTCTATATTGAAAAGTGTACTTCCTTAAGTATACGCTGTCTGAAGAAAATGCAGAAAGTCTGAGTATTAAGTTAATAAATTATTAGTTTTTATTTTATATTAACCTTTTAAAATTTGAATGGATGTGGGGAAAATTACTTAAAACTGCAATAAAATTTGAACTGTTCAGCACACGCAGAAAGTTTACGTTAAGAACGAATTATGCGAATTGATTTTATAAAATTTAATCTACCCATTGTAAATAATATATATTAACTTAGTTCAATATTGAACATTCCTAACGCTATTCATAAGTATTTTAATACAGTATATGTGTAATGGCTATAAATCGATATACGAAAAGGGATTTTTTAAATATTTTAGATAATTGTGTATAGTTTCAGATTAAACCTTTTTACCTGCCATTATATGAACCACTTATTGCTGATTTTTATTTTATTACTGAACTTAATGCAGAATTTTGTTCAGTTTCAAATTTACATCTTCCATAATGTGAACATCCCCGTTTTTTTCCTTTGACGCAAGATACATCGACTTTGGCTAGTATACATTGGCCAACTTGAAAATAAGCAACTTACTGGCCTTTGAATTTTTTGGTTCGCTGCTTCTATTACGTAATGCATTGAGCCATTCTCCATTTTTAGTTTTTATCAATATTTCATGGTGAAAAAGTCAGTGATTTAGTGCTTGCTTTAAGCCTATAACACGCGTGCAAGAGCCAACTAGCTGTAACTATATTCAAACCATTATAGAAAATAAATTTCACCACTTTCCACGGACGTGTTGGTTTGACTCAAGCAGTCAGTCTTGCAAATCAATATCGCCAATACAAACCAATCAACTTTTGTTTTTAATAAAACAACTTGCAGAGAAATAATAATAAAAAATACTTTTAAAGATCGAAAATATAATTTTAGTATTTTGAATTGCCGACATTGTTTGTGAAGTATGAATAATTTTTCATATGTAAATGATATACACAATTTCTATCTGAATTATTGTATCAAATTACGTGCTACCATTTTCCAAACATATTAACACTAGTTTAAATTTGATGCCTCTAATTATCTTAAATTAAACTAAAAATCAAACAATTTTTACACGTTTCGTGCTACATAAAATCAACAAAAGTTGCCAAAATATGAGAATGTCTGCTTAGATCGATACAATAAACAAGAAAAGTTTCAAAAAATAATTTTGCTTATTTTAAAAAGGGACATCCAAGTTTGTTTCACTTTGGAAAATGTTGGCAGGATGAATTATTTGTTCCTATAAATTCAAAGTACTGGAATATCACCTCTTAATACCCAAGATCAAGTTTAATGGCGACAGTTTCTTTTAATGAGTTTACAGTAACTGCAAAACTAATTTTTGATTAGAGAATGCATTTAACTGAAGTTTCGAAACATTATCTCCATTAGCATTTGTCGCAATAATTTGTATAAAGAGTGTAATGCAATTCTTTAATGTAAGAATTATTACATTCTTACATTAAAGAATTGATTTGTCATAACTCATCTGTTACAGAAATTTATATTCGATTTAAATTAATTTCGTGTGTGGCAGTGTCGTACGTAACAAGGCAGGTGTATAGGCATAGGGCGCGACGAAGATCTCGAAACCGAACTGGAAAAAAGTCAAATTTTCCTTAAGATAAAAATAAAGTGCGCGTACATGTATTTATTTATTTACTTATTTATGCACACATCAACAATTTAATTTTTTGCGGCGGAATAATAATAATAGGGACAAAAACAAACGTTGCACGGACGAAACGTGAAGCTAGTTACGACACAGGTTGCAGCGTTCTCAGAGAGGTCTGTAGACACGTTTGTGATCGAATTTGAATTTTGTCGTCGCAATCCTTTTGAGAAATTCGTCTTTGTGTATGTAAACTTCCACGAACCCATTCAATCGAATTAAAAAAGACGCGAAAGGCCACAAATCTCAGATAATCATAATAAACGTTAATTTTAGCAAACGAACAATTTTAGTTTATCGCTTCCGACTAGGCCTGTGCTAAATCAAAATTTTGATATCGAGATTCCTTCGATATATCGATTTTGGTTTGATATACTTCTACCGACATAAAACACGAATATTTTGAAAGAATTTACTGTAAAAAAGCAATTTCCCATTTACTTTTTCTGTTTTATTTTCTTGGCTATTTTGTATACATAACAAGGAAAAGTATTGAAATCGTAAAATTTGACCTCCCGAGGTTTTTGCGAATCTCTGTTTTGGGATCACTTGAATCCAAAAGAGGAAAAATTCCATCTCTCTATGTTGGCGTCTATTTTGTATAATACCTCAGGATGGAGTGAAGATTGAGAAATGAAATTTGAGGCTTGTGTATAAAGGGGCATTGGTGCTATTAAATTTTGGTTGTGAAAGGTCGAAAGGATGCAGCAGAGATAGTGGTCACGTAACATATCTTGCGTAAGATCGGACTTAATGAAGATTTTACTTGTTAGCATTTGCAGTTTTTTTTTAATATGTATGTATATCTCATTACTACCCTCAAAAATTAAGCCGTTTGCCGTTTTATAATTACATATATAGAAAGATGTGACACAATTTTATTAATATGAGATTTTATTTAAAAACTTTTATAACAGCCGTGATTACGCAGCTCGTTGCTAATTTTTTTTCATATAGAAATGTGTTATCGTAAATTATTTTAAGTTTCTCTAAGAAGTTTCAGAGAGTCTGACCTTCGCGAATATTTGCGTAAAATACGATGGATCGAATCTATACGAAGATTCACAAATAAACTTTATTAAGATAGGGTCTAAAGAAAATAAGACGTGGGACACAAACGGAAGCAATTATTCGATGTTCGGTACAATACTGTATACGTACTGTATACAGTCGCTGACCACCACGTGTAATCTTAATGTACTAGGTAATTATTCAAAAGTAAAACTTGTTCAAAATGGCATTAGTTTGAGGCTCTACAGAGACTTTTTGTTGTTCAGAAAGATATGACATTGTTTAAAATTTTTTACAATTACACAATTTATTTCTTATTTAAAAACGCTAAGCACATTGTTCATATGAATTGCATGCGTAAAATGAAATATATAAATGTATATACGGTACGTATGGTCTTCATTACAGATAAAATCTGTAGGTAATACAATTTATTCTTTAATAGTTATGTGGTGTGTGATCAGACGTATCACACGATCTTGAATTTAAAAAATCCGGAGACTTCTTGGAATTTAAGGAAAAGGTTTCNCTTTTTGTTGTTCAGAAAGATATGACATTGTTTAAAATTTTTTACAATTACACAATTTATTTCTTATTTAAAAACGCTAAGCACATTGTTCATATTAATTGCATGCGTAAAATGAAATACAGTAAAACCTGTCTATGGCGACCACCCACAGTTCCTTCAAAAAGTGGTCTTTTAGACAGGTGGTCGTCCAATACAGTGGTCCTGTAATAACGTATTTCCGTACCTATTTTGCGCACTTTTAGCCATTTTTACTAAGCAAAACTCGAGGTGAGCAAAAATAAGCGAATTTTTTCAACGATAGGGCTATATTAGTATTGTATTTTATTTTAAA